AGGGCAAGCAAGATAGCATAATTGTTTTGTTATCTTGTTTGGGATTAAAAACATAGCCAGAGCATTAACAAAGACTAGGTACACCTTAATGTTGGAAGCCCAAATTTAGGTGTAAGGAGAGTAAGTTAACAGGATTTGGCTCTAACATAATTTAGAGCACGAATTCGATATATGATTAAATATAACTAGAAAGGTCTATAAAGAAGGTAGGAGATCATTCTGGTCACATTTACGGAATTTTGTCCCAGAAGCCCCAGTTTATCCCTACTTATGTTTTCGAATAATACTTATCTACATATAAATTATACATCCCATGCATCGATGCAGTGGGTTTTCCATACTGTTTGCAAGGGCTTTGCTGATACCTTTTCCAATAGATTTTGCACCCTTCTTGTCGATCACAAACCCGTTCACACATGTTTCCTTCATTAGAAAGATATTGGCAGATAAATTCACATCTCTTAAATTTCTATAATTATTTTTATTTAAACTTTTTTCCCAGGGCAATATATTCTAAATTTAGGATATAGTATACCTTTCAAAAGTTATCTAAAAATACCATGACCCAATCCAAGCTTTCAGAGAATTTGGACGGCCCCACCCTTTTTCAGCCTTTGGCTGAAAAAGATAAAATGAAAGGACAAGTAATTTGTTACTCTGGTGAAAATTACTTGATGGGTATTCCAACCTGCGACGATTTAGTCACAGAAAACAATGAAGAATTAACGGCAATTCTTGAAGATGCTTTATCTAAGCATCAAGATATTCCATTTATGGCCATTGATGTGGAAGAGTTTACTGAATTCACAAATGGTCAAGCCTGGTATGTATTGTGTCTCTATAGCCCTCTCATCAATGGTCAGAAAGCAGTTGTTTCAATAACAGGAATTCAAGTCTTTTTGATATTATCGTACCAGAAGATGAGTCTCCCAATTTGTTTGAAACAAAAATAAGGGCCATCCTTTCTGGTGAAATAAAATAGTTAAAAATAGAACATGTAAAGGCGTATCCATTTCGTGGTTATCATCCTGATAAAAAGTCATATTTGCGTATTTACACAACCAACACTAAGCAAAGAAAGATTGTAATGAAAGCTATTCAAAAGAAAAAGTACGTAACAGCGTCAGATGATCAATTTACATACTATCACAAGGTGGCTCGTGAATATGGAATTTCACTATCAGGATGGTTTACAATAAGTAATTATACATATGAAATTGGAGGAAGAAGAAACTCGCTTTGTGCATATACTTTCTGGGTATCTATAGAGAATTTCCACCCTATAGAAGACCTGGCATCATTAAAATATCGCTTTCCAATTTCAGCGCTTATGAGAGATCGTACACTTGCTCTTATATGGAACATAGAAACATATAGTTCGCATGGATTGGGTGAACTTCCTAAAGCGATTAATGAAGAAGATTTTGTGATTATAATCTGCATGATGTTGCATTGGAAGGATGATCCAAGACCATTAAAACAAATTTGTCTTGTCGATGTTGAAACAGCACTATATTCACATTGGATCACAATTGTATGTGGATCGCAAACTAATTTGCTAAAAGCATTTGCACTTTGCTGGCGGGTATTTGCTCTAGACATCCAACTCGGATTTAATGATTCGCAATATGATTGGCCTTTCATTATGGAAAAAGCCAATAAGTTATATCTCATTGAATGGATGTGAAAACAGATATCAGGAAGAACTCGCCAGGCAACTTCTGAAGATATTATACAATGGAATTATTATAGAAGATTAGGAAATGTGACTACTTCCAATGAAACCCTTTCCGTGAAAGAGAATACAGAAGAAGAAGTGGAAGAAGAATTCAGAAGGGATTCTATTTTCATCAAAGTTAGCCCATAAGATACCTTTAAATCTTCCTTTCTTAAAATACCTGGATGTGTACTAATCGATGTCCATGCATGTTTTAAGAAACTTTATCCTCGCTCAGAAATAGAAAAGGAAAGTTCGCTGAAGTTCTACTTAAAATTATGTGGGCTCGAGAGTAAGGCCGATATGCCTTTTAACAGATTATGGAACTACTATTCTGAAACAAAAAAACTCTCTTCTGATATAACTGCTAGAAATATGTATAAGGTAGCAAACTATTGTATTATAGATGCGTTGTGTTGCCAAAAACTCCAATCAAATGCAATATAATTAATGATTATAGAGAAGTTGCCTCTATAGCTTATGTATCTTTATTTAATACACATTATCGTGCAAATGGAATAAAGGTAAGAAATCTTATAGGCACTTATGCCACCAAACACAATATGTTATTTAGTACAATTTGCTACAAAGATAAAGAAAAGGGTAAGTATCCAGGAGCATATGTTTTTCCCCAATAAAAGGTATTGAGAATAAGCGTCCTATTACAGATCTCAATTTCGCCTCATTATATTCCAGCCTTATTATGGCTTACAATCTTTCACCTGAAAAATTAATATTAAGCCATGAAGAGGCTAATAATATATATAGAAGAGGAATTGAATTATATAAGATTAAATTTCTATTTAATGGGCGTATTCTTTATGCCTGGGCCGTCTGTTATGGCAATTGTTCTGAGAAAAAAGAATTATATCCTACCGTTCTAGAGGATCTGTTTAATAAACGAGTAAACCTTAAATCAAAGTTTACCCTACTACAAAAAGAGAAGGAGCGTCTTGAAAAGCTTATAAGCACTATAGAAGAGAAGGGTAAAATTGTACCAAATGCTTTAAAATCAAAACATAATTCTCTATGCTTTGATTATAATTGCTTAAACTCAAAACAATTTGCTCTGAAGGTGTATATGAATACATTTTATGGCGAGGCGGGTAATAGTAACTCACCATTCTTTCTTCGTGAATTAGCTAGAGGAATTATTTCAGCGGGACAATACAATATTGGTCTTGTTGCTAGATTTGTTATAGCGAAAGGCTTTGGGATCAAGTATGGTGATACTGACTCTTTATATCTTACCTGCCCAGATAAGTATTATGAAAAATGCGATAGAGATTATAATGAAAACAAGCTTTCCAAAGAGGCATATTGGAGTGAAATAGTAAAAATTACTATGAAGGTGATGGATGAATTTTGTAACAAAGTAAATGCTTATTTTAGAATAAAAAATGGTACCTCTTATCTAAAGATGGCGTATGAGAAAGTATTGTTCCCTGTATGTTTTACTGGTAAAAAGAAATACTTCAGAGTTGCATATGAAGAAATAGTAAATTTCAAGCCAAAAAAGCTATTTACTAAAGGTATTGATACTATAAAGCAAGGTCAAACAGAGCTTTTCAGATTCGTTGGAGAGAAAATCATGAGAGAGGCAATAAATATTGATAATACACGCACAATCTATCAAATCGTCAAAGATACTATTAGAGAAGCTAGTGAAAAGCAATGGGATTTTAACCAATTTGTTGCGATGGCTACATGGAAGCCTAATAAAGATAATAAATGTATTCAGCGCTTTATGGAGTAGATGAAAGAAAATTATGAAAACGAGATTCCTAATTCAGGTGAGCGCTTTAGTTATGTGGTTGTGAAAGGTGAACGGTATTATGATGAAAATGGTCGGTTAATACCACGTAGAAATGCTAACCATATAAAGTTTTCTAATACTGCAAAAGAACAAAATATGGAAATAGATATCAACTATTACTTAGAAAAGACGATTGGAATGTATGCACGCTTTATCAATGAGGATGAAAAATATCAACCACCTTCTTCATATAAAATCACACAACTTAAAGATTCAGATGAAAAAAAGAAGCAGATTGATGTCTATTCCCAGAACGAGGCAAAAAAATGGCTTAAAAAATATATAAAATCTTTACAATAAACATTTTCTAAGACGCGTCTATTTCACAAATTTCTGTATGTGATATTCTATTATACCTATAAAATGCAAGACAAAATTGATACTAAAGCTTTGGCATATGCCCAAAAGCGTGAAGAAAGATGCTTAGCTAAAGTTAGTCCTAATACATATTTATGAGCATGTAAAAAAAAACATCAATGGGAGGCATCATATAAAAATATGAAACAGAATTACCGATAGTGTAATATTTGCCCTAATGTACCAGAAAGAACATGCCAGTATATATTTGAGGATTTATTACATAAAAAATTTCCTCTTTGAAAACCTAAATTCTTAAAATGATTACATCTAGATGAGTATAATAAGGAGGTAGGCTTGGCCTTCGAATATAGTGGTAATCAGCATTATCAAATTGTGCTTTTTTTTCACCCGCAAGGGCAGATGAATCTAGATGCACAAATTTGTCGTGATTGGGAAAAGAGGGCGTTATGCTACAAGGAAGGAGTGATTCTTATTACTATACCCTACTGCTTAGTAGACTTAAAAACATTTATAAAGAGCGCCTTATATATATTCGGTTATCTCTCAATATCCACCTAGGAGGCAACATAGGCTCTTCCTTAATATGCATTAATTGTTCTCTTACAAAGAAATGCCGAGGTCCCGATTCATCTAAATAATATAAAATGAGCATGAGAGAATTTTTTCTAACAACAATTCTTCGGATTTTATGTAGGCTGGGAGACCATATTGGATCTGTAATTCTGCATCGTTTGAAAGAATCATTTTCTCATTCTCCAGGAGCAAGCAAAAATCGAATAGTAGTACCCTTTGATAGTCGCGGTTCATCAACACCTATTGGACGATTATATTTTACCAATGGTTTGGAATACACTCGCTCAAGTTTTGTGGCGTCATTGGGACTCATTCCAATTAACCGAGTAGGAGTATCATTCATGTTATTAACAATTCTTCTTGCAAATCGTTTGTATTCTTTATAGCGTTCGCCAGTAGGTAAGAGAAACTCTATCACATATTGATTTTTAAAAACCCTTAATTCGAATAATCCGGCATAACGATCAACCATAGCCATGCTTGTATGCCTGAAACGTGCTTTAATTCTTCGGATGTTAATATTGTGTTCATCCATTATCATTGTCATGCTTCCCATGAACTCACGACCTTCGTCATATTGCAACAGCCAAACCTAGTTAAGAGGATTGTCAGGATTATTATATATACTTTTAAATGCTTCCGTGACTTCTTCACTACTTTTTGATGTTAAAAAAACAAAATCTTTATATCTAGTCGCGCAGTCTATAACCAATGGTACATAGTAAAATATTGGACCATTATCCAACAAACCCGTATCTACATCTTCATCATATGTTATTTCAATTAAATCACACTGGTGGACAGAATTCGGTATTGTAATTTTAGAGTAACTGGCATAAGATATATTCTTTGGTGGAGGACGAAAAATTTGATACATTGCTTGGCCATCAAGCCATTTTTTTACATCGTTAAATAGAAATTTATAGTCAGCTTTTTTACAAGTGTCTCACAATCCGTCAACATTTTGATAAAAACCCTTAGGCTGATAATAAAGCTTCTGTAAAGTGAGATCCCGGTCAAGATTACATGCTTTTGAGAATCAATAATAATCGTAGATTTTGGTAATAACAAATTTCTGAGACCGCCAGTCCCAGAAAAATCTTTAACTTTTTTTCTCTTAGCAATTTCTCGATCCAGTTCATATGCTTCTTGTGAATCAATATAAATCAAAGGTTTTTCTATTATATTATAGTAAAAAAATATAGAGGAATTACAGCAAAGTAATCAAGAACTCTATGAGGTAGTATCACAATTAGCAGAATCAAATAGGAATTTTAAACAGCGTCTATATACCTTAGAAAGAATTATCAGCATAAGGGAAGAGAGAATACGATTTCTTGAAGAAGAGTTAAATAATGCTATCGAAGTCTCTATACAAGAGAAAGAAGAATTAATAGAAGAAATTTCAAAATTAAAAAGAATCGTTCACCAACTCGAAGAAGAAAATAAAAGGAAAGACAAAGAA